AAGAAAAACAGGCTCTAATTTTAAACCAATCTAAGAAATTTACAAATATAATGCAGGCTAAAAGCAACACAGCTGTTACAGTCAAAGCAGGAAGGAAAGCTGACAAAAAACTGTCAACAGTGTGATGCTAATAGACTTATCAGTATCACTGGCCCATCATTAAGGCACGGCCACATCTGACTATAATTACAACTGTGTGTTCCATTAAATTATTGTTTTGCTTATACATGGCCTATTCTTGTTCAGTGTATGACAGTTGTTGCCTTTCAGCTGCAGGCGTGCCAGTGTTCAATAGTTTAGAGAGAAAATAAGGAACAAATGTGGAAACATATTTAAAGGTGATAAGTAGGCTTACTGCAAATCTATTAAAGGTCAACAAGGACTTTATTAGTCTTTGTTTCAGGATCATATCACCATACAAAGGTCTACAGAACAGTGAAATGACTTTGAAATTACTTGCAGCTCTAAAAAGTCTTTCACACTATCTGGACACAGGGTTTTCTGGGAATGCTATGACAACGTTTTCTTATACCTTGATCTGTTTCACCCAAACCTCTGCAGTAAAAACGTAAAATCCAGGGTTAGACCTGAAGCTAGCTCACTATCGTACTATAAATTCTGCTGCACAGCACAGGCTGGTGGTGTTTGTATCTGAAAAATCAAAGTTCTGGCTTGTCGGTCATGTGTAGGTTCATACTGTGTGTCTGAATAATGGCTTTGAGGGTGAGCTCATACTTGTGCATTAGATTTTCTAGTAAACCCAAAATGTAGAAAAGGAAGCAAACAGGTCAAAGGAAACAAAGGAGACCATCAGATAAAAGATAAATAGTTTATGTGAATCTTTCACACAGCATTTACCTTTACTCTATACACATTGTTCTGAACGTGATATACAGTATGTCATCTTTTTTTTTCTTTTTTTACAATTTGACATAATGTTTTTTTTTCGTTTTTTTTTCAGCATGCACTTTAGAATGCCAACAAAAGGCTCCACGAATACAGACTTCAAACTAGATTTTTCCTCACAGTAAAACATACAAAACATGAACTCGGATCAAAATCCTGACAGTTTGAGGACACGATGGAGAAGCACAGCATCAGACTACCATGACTTTCACAGGTAAGAGCAATGTACTCAACAGTAAGACACAAAAATACATGTTCTGGATTCAAAAAAATAAACACCTTTTTTTTTCTTTTTTTTTCAAGTCACAACGTCATCCTAGAAATACACAAAGAACGGTACCCCTTTGTCGATTCAAAGAGTAAAGCAGCGTGTGTACACGAGGAGGATTGTGGGTACAGGGTGACAATTGAACAGCTAGCCTACAACTGTGCGGGTCGCAACCAAACGTGACACACAGCAAGTTGCGCCACTCGCACGTTTGTGTTTTCAATCCGTTTTCCTTCTGTCGTCTTGTTTGAATGGGCTGCTGGAATCACAGTGTGGATCGGCGCTTTTTGTTTTTCGGGTGCTTATTGCAAATCCGATCTGATTGTTTGGGTTCATGGGTTTGCTACTGTGCAGATGTAGCCATTCTAGAAGTCCCGCTTTATAACTTGGTAAACTTCTGCTACACTTTTGCTCCGCCCCCACAGAGGGGAAAAGTTTGGAAGAATCAAGTTATGCAGTTTTTTTTTTTTGTTTAGCCACCAGGAGTTATGAGGAATAGTCTGGTAAGAATAATTTGGTTTGTGAAGAGACAAACATCTGCAGCACTAACGCAGGGTAGTTGCATGTTAAATGCACCTTGACGGGGGACTTCTACAACGGCAGCTGCGTCACAGGGGAACTCTGTCTCGTTCGTGTTGAACCTAACGGGAAGAGTGACGGCATTGAGTTCACTCTCTGGTCTTTGCTGACCTGGTCTTTCAAACTGCAGATCTTACCCTGGAGTTTTAGGATACACACACACACACACACACACACACACACACACAGTAACACACAGCAGAGCAATTAACCTACTGAAATTACCAAGGGAAACAAAAGCAGAGATGACCATAATGTCACATTTATTCAACTTAGCACATTTGTCTCTCTATACTGTATATACTGTATGTAGAATTTCATATATGAATACACTCCATTTTTAGAACACAAAGTGCCTCAACTGATACATCTTAATACACTTATTGCGAGGAGGGATACCACAGCAAGAAAAGTGATTGAGTGTCACGGCGCAACTTAGCAACCAACCACCTTGTTACCTGACTCGCCATCAAAAGACAGATGTGTGGACGGAGCCACTTGGCCCAGATGTGCTGTGTTGTTGTCGTATTTACAGGAGCGGTATCTATACAGAAGATAGTCTCTTTAAAGGATGAGTCCTGTTTGCTTTGCTTTCCTTTTTTTTTTTCTCCAGAGTTCGAAAACAGGAAAATCAGGAAAGTGTGAATGCTTATCAAAGTCCTCCCAGATCTCCTTTTGATCGTTAATTTCCTCTCCTGCTTGCTGAGCCATGAGCTGGGCGGCTGTCAGACAGTGGCTTTTGCTTGCGTCCTCGTCCATATTGTCCTGTAGGAGTGGCCTTATGGCTCCAAATGGGGTCGTCCCACTGCAATAGGTCCTCATACTGATGACAGTCTTATCCCACCGTCATTCAAATAGGAAATGAATTGTCTAAATAAAATATAAACACATCTCTAAATATCAGAAATGCATCATCTGTCTGCATCATTTCAGAAGACCTTGCCATGCACATCCTGTCTGCTTTTAATATGCACACAAATGAAAACAGTACAAATCTATGGCGCTCTATGAGCCAGTATGATGAAAGCTTTGTCATGTATTGCAGTGATCTAAGTCGGGGGGTGATTCAATAATTTGGTGCACAGACAACGAGAAATGTTTGCGAGAGCTTTTTTAATTGTTTGACTTTTTGCCGAGCTATGTGTAAGATGCATCTAGCCGTGAGCTAGTTGCTAAGCAACCTTCTGCTACTGGTATAGACATACTGTACGGGTCAGGTACGATGCTGCATGGTTATGTCTGCTGTCCCACACCTGTTGGTGTACTGAGGCAATTTATGCCCGTCATGGTGAAAAGAAAAAACAAAACAGTCTAATCAATAATAAATGAAGCTGCCTTTCAGCTGAACCAAAAGGCAGCTTCAGCTTAATATGAGATTTGATGTGAGACACTCCAAAGTGTTTTAAGGTAATTCAGGTCTAGTCTGTGGAGTTTGGGGATTTGAGAACAGTTAATAGCCCTTGGCTGGTATGAAGTGCATTTAAAAGAGGGAAAGCTAAAAAAATAAAAATAAAAAAGTCATGTATCTGTTTCTTTATCACAAAAAAATCTACTTTTGAATCATCAACCCAACTTGGGGGAACATGCATGTTAATATTATGCAAAATCCAGTTTTTAATTGTTTTTGAACATAATAATTCATTCCCTGTCTACAGTCCCACAAAAATATACATAAAATAAACAACACAGCTGTCCCCTTTCCTTTCCTTTCCTTTTCTTTCCTTTCCTTTCCTTTCCTTTCCTTTCCTTTCCTTTCCCTACAGTTTAGAAAGTGTGTCCCTCAATGAGCCGTTCAGGTTTGGAATCCTGTTGTGATGTCACAACAGGATCAGCATCGGCCCTCAGGGCTCCTCTCTGTCACTGACTGAACAGAGTGGGTACAGAGAGGAGGTCCTGCTGCCCTCCTCCTAACAGGGCTGAAGCCAGCAGCAGCTCATTTGGATTTAAAGCTACAGACACTGTTTGAAACAGCCTGTATTGAAGAGGGCTGATGCCAGGGTTATTATAGGCATTGTGGAATTAAAAATCAGTGTTTTGAGCTGAAACTTGAAGTGTCCATTGTGAGCACATGTGAGACTTATATTAATTTGTTAAAAATATTTATGATGTGGGACCTTTAATTACAGCCTGTTTACAATGGGCATGATGCTGTAAGCAGCTTTGTTATTGATGCCTTTGAGAATGAATGTTCGTCAGAGGCTGTGCTCATCTCTGCACCTGCATAATGTGTCTCTCTTTACAGATTACTGAATAACCCCCATTTCATCACACAAAAACACAAATCATAACTCATGACCAGTAAGGTGAGAGGGTTGTGCACTGCAATCTGCGCCCTCACACCTGTTTCAGACGGTTACCTTTCCGCCTGGCGGTTCCTTCTCTCAAGCCATTAGGATAGAACACTGCTCTCTGCTTGTGTGAAACCAGTAAAGACAACCTCTTTGCAGTTATCTGTGAGCAAACAACCAGAAACACAACAGCTTTGGTGGCACTCCGTCAAAGAAATAAATCGACATGAAGGGGTGGGGTGGTGGTGGTGGTGGGGTTTAATCAGAAATAGCAGCAGATGAGCAGAAACCCACATGCAGAGAGAAACCAACACCCGGCTGGCGTTCTGTGTGTTTAGTCTCCTCGGTGGTTTGTTGGTGAAGCCAATGGCAAAATGAGACAAGTTGAGTGCACCTCCCTTCCCCACCCAAACCCCAACATAATAACATTTAATTAAAATCACTCCTTCGTGTATATTTACTGTAGATAGAAATCCTCTCCTCTCCGCTCCACACTGCTCGCAGATGATGGTTACAGGATGATCCATGCAAAAAAACATGAGCACGGCCCGGCAGAGGGTGAAGAAAGAGTGACAAAGTGTGTCTGTGTGAGCTGAAACAAAATCCTTCAAAACTAATCTCCCATCCCCACACCTCTTATCTACTACCCCCCCCAAAATAAAATAAAGTACAGACAAAGTCACAGTCGCATGAGGTTAAAATGAAGTGACATCTCTCTTTCTTTTTTTTTTGGAAGCACGTCTGTTTCAAGGTATCTAAATATAGCAACATCTAATATCCCTGATTATTAATATGTCTTGTATTAAATGTTATGGCTGCTACTTCTGAAGCCACCAGTCAGAGTTCTTTTATTGCAAGTCTAAAAGGTACGACAATATCCAACTAAAGGGAACTCCAAGTGACGAGGGAGAACTGGCTAGTTACTCAGCTAAGCACATGTACCTTCGAGGAAAAAAGGGGACTTGCTCAGGTTGCCCAAGCTATTAACATTAGTCTTAGCTACAATGTTAAGCACTTATCCACTAGTCACAATATCTAGAACAGAGTTCAGATATGATGCCAAAGGGAGGTGGTTTGTTAGAGGGGTTGGATGTGGGGCGGTTTGGGTCAAAGTGGCCCGGGGCGTGGAGGTCTCACAGGATGGAGGGGATGGGGGAGCGAGAGCGCCGCAGCGGGCAGGGCGATCCGTAGGGCGAGGTCACGGGAGACAACCTCAGGGCGTTACCAGCCATGCCAGTCATGCCCGCTATGTTGTTTAAGCTCCGGGATTTTTCATAGCCTTCAGATGAGGGGCGACAAAAGGTGGTGGTGGTGGAGGTGGTGGTGCAGGAACAGGACATGAACACACACAGGCAGGCAGGCAGGCAGGCAGGCAGGCACGCAGGCAACGATCCGAGTCCGAGCCAGCCGAGTGAACCGAGACAAGACAGGAGACAGGAGTGAGACAGAGCAACAGTAACATACTGTACGGTGAGTGCATGCACAGCACATTTCCTGACAGTGACAGTAAGGCAGATTAAACCCAGGCAAAGGTTTAGAACTGGACTGGAGCTGCTTTGGAGTGAGAGACAACCTCGTTTGCTGAGTGGGTGGAAATAAAGAACCAGATATTTTGATTTAATATGCATTCCATCTACACTGGACCATCCCATCAATAGATAGGGATAAGCATGAACTGTGTATAAAGCATGGGTGGAGCATCTGGGTTTAAAAAGTGAAGGCAATGTGGAAGAGAATTAAACCTACATTTTGTCTAACAGCCAGCAGGGGGAGACGCCGTCAGCTGCAAGAAAAGAAGTTCAATTGCATAGAGGTCTATGAGAAAATGATCCTATCTCTGACTTGAACTGCTAGCATAGTAAATGTTGTTTAAATGGGTTTATGACCTCACTTGCTACCTTTAAGTCTCCTTCAATGCGGCATAGCGTTTATTTAGTAAATTATGGTCTCATTTAGAGTTAACCTGATGGTAGAACAGGATGTGTTTAAGGGCAGGACTGTGCAGAATGTTCTCAGTCAGAGCCAACGCTTGGTTTTTCCAAACATAACGAGGACCATTTCTGGCCAAATGCCAAATTTGAGTCCTCGTAATGGTACGTCGACAAACCAGTGGGTGACATGACATCACCAGTTTGGAGGAAACTAATCTTCTAAATAGATGAATTGTCAACCACTGTCAACAATTACATTTCTCCTCTTTATCACAGTCGGCTGCTTAATTTGAAAACAGTATGTTAATTTCAAGCATCTGAGATGGAAAAATTCTCCATATTGACCTTCTGGTCCAAAGTCCGAGTCTGACTATGACTCATATGTTATGATCTCTCCCACTTGACTTGTCTGTAACCTCTGCTGGCAGCTACATTTAAATAAAATCCAATATTTATTGCAATTTTCTAACTACAAATAGCTGCGTTTTTTGGTTTTTTGTTTTTTTTGCTTACAATGAGCCCTTCATGTCTCTAGAGGCGGTGGGCCTCCTCCACAGAGTCCCAATGTTGTGTTACTGTGCTTCCCCCACCTTGGTCCATTAAATGGCCATCATCATTGAGGATCATTAGGGGCCTCCTCCACGTCTAATAGGCTCAGTCGGCACATTATTACCCCAGTTATTGGTGAGCTGTGATCTCAAGTCCACATTTGGAGGTCAGAGTGATTTGTGGAGGTGTAAGTGACCTTTCAACTAGGAGCCTATAGTTTTTCATTTAAGCCTTGTTTTAACTTGGATTTTCAATATTGAAATAGTTATAAGTTCGGAACAAGAACTATTTAGTAATATTTTGTTGGAGTTAAAATACACCCCGTTGCTGTGTTTATGATTATACATGACTGCAAAAGGTCACCAGGGTCATCGGAGTTGCTTTCTGTTTAGTAATGATCAGAATGGATAATAACACTCCTACTAAGTGTACTCAGAGGTGGTGGAGGTGCCTACTGGCCCATATGTATGAGAACAATTTGTGGTGATTATGTCCATTTAATAGGCTGATAGAATCAGGTGCAGGTTTCTAGACGTGTTATTAGTGGCCGTTGTTAGTTAGCTACTTACTTGAAAGGCAAGGAAGAGGGAAGGGTTGATTGCAATTTACAATC